GAACAACAAAAAATCAACATAGATGCCTATCAAAAAGAACAACCACAATTCAATGTAGGTGACAAGATATAGTTGCTTCATTGTAATATCAAGACTACTCGTTTTTGTGATAAGTTGTACTACCACAAGCTTGGACCTTTTTCTATTTGTGGACAAATCAATCCAATTGTTTATCGAGTATATCTACTACAAGCAATAAAGATCCATCTTGTCTTTCACGTATCTCTTCTTGAATCATACAAGACTATGAAGATACTCAGAAGAAGACAAGCTTTACTTCTTCCTATAGAAGTGGACAATAATCAAGAGTTTGAAGTAGAAGAAATTCTAGACTGAAAGAGATGCCAAAATAAATTAGAATATCTTTTCCATTGGAATGGATATGATATTAGTGAATGTACATGGGAGCCAATAAAGAATCTTACAAATATAGCAAAGGTGGTGGAGGCTTTTCATTGACAACATCCTTCCAAATCAAAATAAAAAATAGTAAGTCTTTGCTATAAAAGAAATAAGGTCTAGGGAAGATTGTATTTTATCTTCTATCTTTTTTTGTAGCTTCTGTATATTTGTGACGCTAAGAAGATGGAAAGCCAATAATTATTAGATTCAACTCAAGAGCTTTCATTTGTGGACTTATTAGACAAGATATTGCAATTGTTACAACTTTTAAGATGACAAAATCAAGATGAAGTTCTTCAAGAACAACATATCCTTCTTCAAATAGAAGGTGAAATACAATAAGTTTGATATCACAACCTTGGAAGAGACTCTCAATGTTTGATAATTTTATTAGAAATAAGAACAATTCCTAATGGTATTTCAAATATTTTATTTGAAGCAAGTTACGAAGGCCTGAACAATGACCAAATAATAGGGTGGTCTTGTCGCCCTGATATGGGATACTATCAATGGCTGAGAGGGCCTATCAACTATCATCAAAGAGAACAAAGATTGAAGAATGTGGCAAATACAATTCATCGCATCTTAGATTTTTTCAACATATAAAAATCGCTTCTCATGGAACTTATCTCTAGAAGGAGAGATAATATCACGAACATATACATGTAAACCAATAATTACCTACATGATTAGATAAAAGTAGGTAAAAGTAGATTAATTCCATAATAACTTCTATAGAAACTTCTTAAAAGCTTTATAGACACTGCTTTGACTTTATAGGTGTCTATAATTGACTTTTTAGATTAGAAACATGATCAACAAGTCGGCCATGTGCCACACATATTGGTAGTTAGAAGAATAAGCTAATTGTGTGGCCCACATGTAAAAAACTTGTCTTATAAGCTAAGGCATGTATCCTCCAAAGTCAACATATATTAGAGGTCATATAGAACATTGCGACATAGCTACTAGTTAGATAATATATATAGAGGCAACAATGAAGCCCTCTTCATTCTTGTCAACTCCTTTCTTGCTTCTAGTCTAGAGTTAAGAATCTCTAGTTTCCTTCTCTTTTAGCAATAGCCATCTAGTTTTCTTTTAATATACATATTACTTTATTTTTATTTTGTCACTTTTCTTTTAATAAAATTTTTTCAAGTTTATGCATCTTCTTCCAATGCATGTCCTTGACACAAAGCTAAAATTATATGATATATTATTCGCCAATGCATATAATACAAAAGATTTAATTCTAAAAATTTTTAAAAAATCTTAAATGCTCAAATATCTAAATGATTTTTAAATTATTTTTACTTAAAAATTCGACTTTATAAAGCAATATCAAATTAAAAACTAAAATAAAAATAATTATTTAAAAATATTAATAGATTATCTTTAAATATACATTATTTGACTAAATATTATTTGAAATAGATTACAAATTCTAAGATTTAGAAATATTTTTGTAAAGTATAGAAATTCATTACTAATAATTTTAAGTTTATGTAACTTTATTAATTTTATTCTATCACTAATTTTTTCTTATTGAATAAAAACCACATATTTATTTAGTTGAAAATACTATGTTATAAAAAATTATTATTTATCTATACAAGATAAGAATCTACCAAATTAAAGACATCTAATAGAAACATTTTAAAAATATAGATAGAATACAAATTGGTTAGCTTAAGACTTACTATGTTAGTTCCAACTAAATCCATATGGAAGTCTATTCTATTACAACTTATTACTTAATAGACTTAGGCTCTACTAAAAAAGCTATAAGAAATGCAAGTAAAAAAATAAATAATAAAAAAATAAACTATATATTTTGATATGAAATATTATTTTAAAATATATTAATATTTATTATGGAAGGACTAATTAGCAATAAGTTTTAGATTCAATACAAAAAAAATCTTAAAATAAACTACATTACTCAAAGAAGTTTGAAAAAACCTAAATCAAATAAGATAAACTAAGATTAAAAAATTTAAAAATATATTTAATTTGGAATGATACCTCTTCTCTTCTTCTCTCACCATGGTATCACACTAGAGACTAAGTCTTCTACAATAAATTGATCCTTATTTAATCAACAATCATGTATACTTTTTATATTTTAAAATATATAATTAAATAAAAAAAATGTTAAATAGATCCAAGCTTTTACAAAAATTATCCACCCATCTTAACTATCATGAAAAAAACAAACAAACAAACAAAGAAAAAAGAAAAAAGAAAAAATGACCTCTAGATTCATTTCACTAATAATAGATCCAAAACCAATGAAAACCAATCTCATTCATCATGACTATCATATTGTTCACCATGGACAAGTCTATTTAATATTCCTCTAAATAAATGATGTGTGTGTATATATATATATATATATATGTGTGTGTGTGTGTGTGTGTGTGTGTGTGTTTATTCATATATACACACTCAACCATTTTGTTTATTAATAAATATATTTAAATACCCACCCATTCTAAATAAATGATGTGTGTGTGTATATATATATATATATATATATATATATATGTGTGAGTGTATGTGTGTGTGTGTGTGTTTATTCATATACAGTGTCAAACAAAACCGAGTACAAAATCTGAAGTGCCAACTTTCAAGAGCAATTACAGAAATTTCAATGATTGCTTTATAAATTTGAAAGTTACATGGAATAATACACACAGTCTTGTACACATGTACAAAGTTGCACATCAAATTGATAACTAAACATCCTTCTACAAAGTCAAATCAACAACTATGTCTTGTACTCAGTATTGTTCAAAGAAAATCTTCAAACTTCAATATTTAGTCCAATAACCTTTTGCTTCCAAAACAGCTGAAATCCTTCTTGGCATACTTTTGTATAGTTTCTCACAATCTTTTGCATCAAAACTAGGGTAAATACTACAAATATTCTCCCACAATTCTTGAACACTTCTTGGCCTTGGAGTGACTTGGCTTAAACGCTGTTTGAGAAGGGTCCAAAAATATTCCATTGGATTCAAATCTGGAGATTGAGTTGGCCATCGAAGGAGCTGAAATGGCTGTGAAGCGAGCCAAAACTGAACACTTTTTGCCGTATGTTTGGAATCATTATCATATTGAAAAACCACCTTAGTAGGATCTAAGTTGTAATTCTGTGTGATACTTTGCAAGTAGGTTTCTAAAATTTTTTTTGTACAAGTATTGCTCCATTCTACCTTCAATTTGATACCAAGCACCCGGCCCAAAAGCAGTCATAGAACCCCAAATCATAATTGAACCACCACCATGTTTGACAGTTTGACTAACATGTTTAGGTCCAGGTCGTTCTCCTTCTCTCAACCAACACCAAGACCTACCATCTGAGTTGATTAGGTTAATCTTTGTCTCATCACTGAAAATAACCCGTCTCCAATCATCAACGGTCTAATTTTTGTATTTATGAGCAAAACTCAACCTTGCAAGAATATGTCTTTTGGCAAGTAGAGGCTTCTTTTGTTGCACACAAGCACCCAAACCAGCTTCTCTCAAACCACGCCTCAAGGTGATGTCTGAGAAGTGTTTACCTGTTTTTTCTCGAAGTTGTTTTGCAACTGCACTTGCCGTTTTGAGACAACCAACAGTAACAAGGTGCACACCAAGTCGCTTCTCTTGCTCTCCTAAAACCTTTGGACGTCGTCCTCTTTGCTTTTCTATTTCACCACTAATCTCCCTCCTCAGATGAGCTACTGAAGACTGACTCATTCCAAGTGAGTCTGCAACTTTTTTTGTAGAAACACCACTCCTAAGCTGCACCAATGCTTGGTGCTTCAATGATTCACACAACTGAGGCATAGAGATACAATTGACAAATCAACTTTCACTATAGATAGTACACAACAAGAGCAATACAACAAACAAAAAATGCCCTCAAATCTTGCAACAAGGAGTGTACATTGAAATTTCGAAATTCAGCAAGAAGAAGCAACCAAAACTGAGTATGCACGTCTGTGTGCTTCTACAACACTTTTCTCATAAAACCTACCTCAAATGATAATGAGATTTTTCATCCATATAGAGGATTGGATGAATACACACAATAAAAAAGTAATTCTATCAATTGACTTATGTGTCAGTTGGAAGGATCAATGAACTATGAGTGTTCAGATTTTGTACTCGGTTTTGTTTGTCACTGTATACACACCCAACCATTTTGTTTATTAATAAATACATTTAAACACCCACCCATTCCATAAGGCTTGGTAAGGAAGGAAGGGAAATGGCGGGTACTCCGGCAGCACAAGAGTAGAATGTGCCCAATTGCAGCAGCACCGACGTGGATGTAGGGCGTGGAATTTGTGAGGACTCGGAGGCATGGAATGGATGTGAGGTCGGGAGGGCGTGGGTTTTCATGTGGAAATCAGGGCCCATGTCCATGACTGGTGGACACCAGCAGCTGGACCCCTCCACCGTGGATGTGGCGAATGCCCCCGCAGCGTCCCACCCGCGAATGGATGACGGATAGAGCTTGCCGCTCTCGCCCGGCCCGGCCCTGCCCCGCCCTTCCCCCATCTTATCTGATTCCAATCCCCGCTTGTGGCTTGGAAGACCTTCGCCATGGCACATATCAAGCACCCGTGTACCCCACCTCCCCTCCGTAGCATCATCGACCCCCATTGCACCCCCCTCCCTCTCTTGCTCCGGCAAGCCTCTTGCTGGATCTCTTCCCCATGGCTTCCACCGCGTTCGCCGCGGCCACTGCACCCAGCTCTGCCTCCCTCAAGGTACCATTCGTCTCCTGTACTTGGCTGCATTGCGTTTTTGTCGATGTCTGTGGTCATGCATTTCTCCTGGAGTACGTTGATCATGTCCTAGTGGGGCGAGGTCATGGATGCGACGCTAGTAATTGTCTGAGCAGTGTGTTAGAATTCCTTTTTCTTGGTTCAGTTAGTTGAGAATGTGGGTCGACGAGTTCGTCTTCGTCTACAATTCGTGAAATGCGCACTGAATTGCCGTCGTTTGGTTGATTGGTTCGTCGTTATGTGTTGTTGAGATTGGTAGTCGTTGTAGGAGATGCATTGTTGTCCATAGTGGGTGCAGGAGATGGTATTCGGCTGAGTCTGTTCTAGGTGGTTCTATAGTTGATGCGGTTGTGAGATTTGGATTAAAAGCTAAATGAATTGAAGAATCGAAACCCAAATCCAGAAGGTGGTATTGCAAACTTTGGACGCTACTGCACGGAATCTACTGATACTTATTAAGTATTGAGTGTTTTGCATATTATATGGTCCAGCTCCTATGCGCATCCTTATCTATTCAGGATGCGATTCACTGAGAAGGATGTGTTGCCTGGGTTTCGACGCGAATTATGAGTGGTGCAACCCAGAGGCTTCGGAGACAGGGTTGCCCAAAGATGTCTGGAGCATGGAATTATTTGCTAGTCATTCCGTATGGACCCGAACTCACATTTTTTGTTTCTGCAGGTTGCTGGATGTAATGGATTCTCCGACTTCTCCGGAATGAAGAGCACCAACGCTGTCACATTTGGCAAGCGCTCCGATGACCTCGCCACCATTGTATCAGCTCAGTCCGCAGTGGTATGACATTTGAGTTGCGACTAATTGACTTCATCTTTGCGGTTCGATGAGTCTTCCTCATTTTGTACGCTGTGTAACGTGAATCAATCTTGTTATGAAATCCAGTTGCTGGTGCATGTTCACATCGGTTAATCATTTGACTGGTTGTGGTGTAGGCTGCCAGCTCCGGCGCCACCAGGGCCGTCACCGAGGCCAAGATTAAGGTCGCCATCAATGGATTCGGACGCATCGGTCGTAACTTCGTCCGCTGCTGGCATGGGAGGAAGGACTCACCCTTGGATATTGTTGTCATCAACGACACCGGAGGCGTGAAGCAGGCGTCTCATTTGTTGAAGTACGACTCCATGCTCGGGACATTCGATGCCGATGTTAAGGTGGAGGGCAATGACGCCATCAGCGTGGACGGCAAGGTCATCAAGGTGGTGTCCGACAGGAACCCACTCAACTTGCCATGGGGGTAAGTACGCGTTGATGACTCTACCCCCGGCCATTCGCTGTAGGATCTCGTACTGCTCAATTCCTGTATGTCAATGTCTCATTTCAACCTCACATCCACCGAGTTGAAAAACAGTTCACGAATCATGAGCTGACAGTGCTCACACGTTGTTGTTGTTGATACTCATCAGGGACATGGACATCGATCTCGTCATCGAGGGAACCGGAGTGTTTGTGGACGAGGCCGGTGCTGGCAAGCACATCCAGGCTGGAGCCAAGAAGGTATTGATCACCGCTCCAGGCAAGGGTCCCATCCCTACCTACGTGGTGGGAGTGAATGAGCAAGACTACAAGCACTCTGACACCATCATCAGCAACGCCTCCTGCACCACCAACTGCTTGGCACCCTTCGTGAAGGTGTTGGATGAGAAGTTCGGCATCATCAAGGGTACCATGACGACCACTCACTCATACACCGGTGACCAGAGGCTGCTGGATGCGTCCCACCGCGATTTGAGGAGGGCTCGCGCTGCTGCTCTCAACATTGTGCCCACCTCCACGGGAGCTGCCAAGGCCGTGGCGTTGGTGCTGCCCAACTTGAAGGGCAAGATCAACGGAATTGCCCTGCGTGTGCCAACCCCAAACGTGTCGGTTGTGGACTTGGTCGTCCAGGTGGAGAAGAAGACCTCCGCCGAAGAGGTGAATCAGGCATTCAGGGATGCCTGCAACACCGACCAGCTGAAGGGTGTGTTGGCAGTGTGCGACGAGCCACTCGTGTCAGTAGACTTCAGGTGCACTGATGTGTCATCGACCGTGGACTCATCTTTGACAATGGTGATGGGAGAAGACATGGTGAAGGTTGTTGCGTGGTACGATAACGAGTGGGGATACTCCCAGAGGGTGGTTGATTTGGCAAACCTTGTTGCTGAGAAGTGGCAATAGATCTCTTCATGTAACAATTGCAGGCGAAGTTCAATTTTAGTGCAGCTGCAGTCCCGGATTGATTACTTTGAATCTGGATGTCGCTGGTTCTTTGTATGGTTTTACGTCACTCCTATTTATCCTAGTGTAGGTCCGATGTAGCGAGTGATGGAATGGTTCAATACTCGAATAGACGGGTTTGCAATTGCAAATGTGTCTTGAAAGTGGAAACGAACTTCAAATAGTGCGTCCCAACCTGTATTAATTCGTCCATCTAATCTATCCGCCACCTCGAAAATGGGAATTTTTTTTCTTACTTCAACTGCCTACTGTCTGCATAAATCTCGCCTTAAGCCCGTGCATTCGTCGGAAAATTTTCCTTATTTTCAAATACCCTGATCATGTTGGAGACTTACGAAAGTGCTGCGAAAGTGACAGTACCCTGTTTCTTATCACCACATATTCTATTGGCTATTGTTAAATTTCTGTGATATATCCATCCAGACTACATACTTAGCTGCCTCGTACACAATCCATATTCACACCATGTAACTAATCACATAACATCCAGTACTTTGGAGAGAAAAAGAAGACAACTTTCACTTCTAGATGTTACCATCACATCCTCTTTAGAGTGTAAGAAAATAACTTGAGAATAGATTTCGTAAGGAGAAATATATTAACAAGAAGTAACTTTTTTTTTTCAAATTATTTGAATTTCTTAAATTGAGTATGGTAGACATCGTCGCACCGTCACGAAAAAAAAAAAAAAAAAAAAAAAAAAAAAAAAAATGTTGCTTTTTCGATGCTTTTCTGATACTTTGCTAGCTTTCGACCACAAACACTGTCCTCTTTTGCATGCTTATTCTTTTTTATGTCGTCTTTCCAGTGCTCTGACGATGTCTTTTGGACCACTGCACGCCACTGCAGAGCAAGGTTCATTCTATGCCTTAGGCTTCACTTCGGCATAAGCTCAGGCCCGAGAAATCACAATTCGAACCAATGGTGTCGGTTATGCTCCACACGGTCATCGGTTTCCGTGGTCACATGGTCCCCAAGTCCTAAAGCCGAGTCGGGGAGGGAACAGTTAACTCTTTCCAATAACAAAGTGGGCGTTCGTCACATGCCCATCACATGCCCGATGTGGCATGGTCACAGGCGAAAAGGTGGGCATGAGGGAAGTGTTGGGAATGACAAGGTCACCTTAAGCCGTGAAATCCTATAGCTAGACTGGCTCCAATCTATCCTTTCTACCAACCCTTCCCAGCCGACGCTGGCCCGTGCTTCGGTGCCAGTCCTGCGATACAAGGGCTTGGTGATGCTCTGGAACCCATCATCTCGTTCCCCAAGCTCCCACGTTCCCTCTACTGCTGCCTTCCATACCTCTTATCTTTTCCTTTTCTGGCCCTCTTTCTTTCCACCTCTCCTTCCGTTCTATCCCTCCGCCCACTTTTCTTTCCATTTGTTTCTTTTTCTTTTTCTTTTCCAACTTTTGTTTCCTTTATTTTTTTCGTTTTTTTTCTTGTCTGGGGCTGTGTCCTATTCAGTAAAAGGACCAAGTGATTCAAGATTATCTTTTACTTTTTCATTACTGTTTAGATGGTGTAGTTTCCAAGTGTTGTTCAAAAAGCCCATCCCACTCTCAACTTTATCCAGTTTTTGAGAATAAGTGTTTTCAAATGCTATGGGATAAATTTTTCTTATTATTAACTTGGTAGCCCTATTCTGCTTCATGTCTTAAACTGTTTGTGGAACCCCCACCTTTTCTTTTTCTTTTTTATGTTAATATGAATTTTAATCAACCCTGCTTATGTTCCTTAACTCCACATTTATCTAACATGTGTAAATGTTTTAATTTTGTAGCAATTCATGACCATCATCTATGTTTATTGATAGCCATTTGATCAAGTCTGTTGATGATGATAACAATATGACAATGACGAAACTACTACAAGTCAGTCAATAAAATAAAATAAAATAAAAATTTTGTGCTAATTCTTTATTAATATTTAAACATTATAATCAAATTAGTTTCACATGGAAAAAGAAAGAAAGAGAGTGTGCTTGCCCCAAAATGAAGTTGTCATCAATACTTTTAAAATTTTATCTGTCTATTTTTAGATTTAATATTATGTACTAACATTTTCAGGCATTATGTATTCAGAAACAAGTGTGTGTGTATATATATATATATATATATATTTAAAGTGTTTTATTACAAAAGATACAAATATAATCACCAGTGTGAGACAATACAACTTTGTGTGTGTATATATATATGCATATATTTCTTTTCATAAAATATTAAGAATGATATGAATTAAAGAGGATTTGACTGTAGCTATTGGCAGTGCCCATTCATATGTGCCAATGGTTGCTTTAGATATCCACTGCCAATGCCTCCCACATTCTGATAGTTTAACTATGTAATTCATTCAGTCATGCCAATTTACATTCAATACAATTTCCATTTCATATTTTTATAAAGTTACTCTTTCATAGTATTGACACTTTTTATAGCAACTTTTCTCCATATAAGATGTTTTGATATGTATCTGGCCAACAAGAATTTTTCAAAGTGCAACTTGTTTTTTCTGTGTTTGTGATTGACCCTATCAATCAATTGACATATTGAATAAAAACATTACTTTTCTTTCTTTTCTTCTTGTAGTTATGCTCTCATAATTTTATGATTTTTAAAACCTTCAAAATATTATTTTGAAAAGTCATTTGATTTATTAAAATTATATATTTATTCAATATATATAAATATACACACTTTAATTGAAATTATTTATAACTTTCTTTGTTGTCTCATCATCAATAAAAATACTAGATTTTCTTGTTTATTTTCTTGGGTGATAAAATTTAGATTATTTAGACAAAGTAGAGATTTATTCTAACACACAATCAGTTGATTTATAAAATCACAAAATAAAAAAATGAAAGTTATATAAAATTACATATGTGAAAAGCTTAACTAAAAACATGCTTTCTTTTTCTTTTTCTTTTTCTTTTCTGTAGGAATTTAATTATTGTTTTGAAGATTGTTATTTTGAGGCACCAATAAATTTATTTGAAATAAAATTCATATAATAAATAAATAAGCAAATTGTTATAGTTATTTTTAAAAATATCTTAAGTGGATTAAACTCTCAATAAAACTTTTACAAAAAAATATGTTTGTATGATGTTTGGTTATTTAGTTTTGCATAATGATTCATTGTTAATTGTATATAATTGCTTTAACATATAACTCTTGAAACAAAACAAGGGCTCCTAACACTAACTCTGGTTATTATTATTATTATTGTTATTGTTATGATTTTAAAGTTTTCTAAATTTCCAGGCATAATTATTTAACAAAAATATTTTCCAAAAACATATTGTTTTTTAACTGGTGGAGTCTTTATGAATTTAGAGTATTCAATTTTTATGCAGTAGCATATGATTTGGAAAATCAACTGTAAACACGTCATGCAATAATCATATCTAAACTATTTAAAGAACTTAAAAAAACAACAAAAAAGTAAATGAAGTCTAAAAATACATCATTCTAGAGCAATAAAAATCCAATAAAAATATTGTGAAGCAATAATAGAGAGAAATAAGAAAAAAACATCAAAAAATCGAATAAAGATTTAAAAAAAAAAAAACACAATATGTGGGATTTTTTAATCCTGAAAATGAAATTATGACTTTAAAGTAACCACCATTGATCAAATAAAGGCAAGTCAATCCAAAATTTCCACCATTATCACATGTAGATAAACAAAAGAAAGAAACCCATCAAATCAACACCAAGAAAAAAGTATTTAAAAATACTTTACATCCAATTTTCCATGGTTTATTTTTGAAAAAATATTCAAAAAGAGGGAATAAGAAGAGAAGCCATTTGTTTTTTTCGTGTGGCCTTCCGGACAGGCTGGAGGGAAAAAATGAAGGGAAGGAACTCGAAGGAACAGAAGATAGGAACTCGGGGAACAGAATATGGGAACTTGGGGAACAGGGGATGGGATCTACAGGGAACAGAGGGTGGGAACTAGGGGGAACTGGATAGGGGAACGCAATCCCAACAAAGCTCACACTGATTGAAGTGGAAAACAGAAGAGAGACGATGGAGGGGCCCAAATGAGACATGGCACCTCAGCGACATTACGTCCTTTTCCGCAACACCTGAAATCTGAACAAGCTCAAGATTCGATCGGGGGCCAATTTCCATCCAGATTTAGATCCTCTCGAATGGCCAGATATTTTCCCATAGTAAAAGTACCCACGTGGACTAAAACTCTTCTTCCCTCTCACGTATTGCCATCTGGACGCCTCTGCACGTCTTTTTAGATAGGCAATCACCTCCCGGAGTTCCCACCACGTTCTCTGCACGTTCCCAGTACGTCTCGGCAGAGTTCGCAGCTTCTTCACCTCTCCGTGCGTAGCGAACCTTAAAGGGACGACGACGTCTATTTTCGTGCCAATCAAGGTGCGTTTGTGTCTGTTGACTGGGACTGTGATTGATCCCCTTTGAAACTCGAATTCGGTACTTTAGTTATCGGCAAAAGCTTACTGCATCTCTACGGGACATAATACAATCTGTCATGGTCTAGATTTCCAGCCTCCTCACCCGTTTCGGAAAATCTCGCACGTTGTGGGATTGTCACCAGCAGCGCACGGTTACGGCGTGAGGGAAAGCAACAGGATGGATTTACTGGAGGCGATGCGAATCGGCTTTCGTTTCGGCGTGCGTTTGGTAAACTAAGGTTTGGGATTGTTTGGAGTGGTTGATTGAATTTCCCTTGGACAGGCTGTGGCGTTGGCGCTGGTCGTCGCTGCCCCCCCTCAGAACACACTTTTGCGACGCTGGCTCTTGGTGCGCTTGGTGGCTATTGCGCGGGCCTGTAGTTTGGCTTTGTTGCTGCTGCGAGGCAGCTATCCGTTTGTGTTGTGTTCCGGAGGTTCTAACAAGCTGCCGGTCGCATCTTTTGGCTCAAATTTGGCTCGCAACGGTAGTGGTCTTGGTGTTTGGCGACGGGATGTAGATTCATTGGGCCGTGCAGTTGTGCCATTCTGTTGCGTCGGAGCTTGTGATGGAGCTCGGAGGGTGACTGCTGGATTCTGCTAAAGAGATTGAGTTTCGGTCAAACCTTGAGGAGAGGGAATTGAGTTGTGTTTGGCTGTATCTGACGGCACGATTCGGTGGCTGAAATGGCGCAGTCTGGCTGCTTGGACGTTGGTGATGGAGAAGTCTTGGTGGATAGTGGACATCGGATTGGGGTAGTTAGCATCTGAGATGATTTCAGTAGGTGAATCGTAGATGTCGTGATGTGCGCGTTTGGAATGATGTGGTGAAAGAGATGGTTCTGGTCGCACTAGTGTGCATGCATGCGTGTGTGCGTGCTCTTCGGAGCTTAAAGATCCCGACGAGTTTTTGTGAGGTTCGCGTCCATTTGCATCGCGTAGAATCTGGTGTATGATTCATCTTCGAAGAGCTTTTTCCTCATCCGTGTCCAGTTCTGGGTATTTAGGGTTTTCGATGTTCTCGTGGTCGCTGGCTCGAATAATGCGGTGTGCGAGGATACTTTCCTGAGTTAATTTCTAGGAAGAGGTCGGATTGCCTCTCGCTCGGGGTCAAATTGATTGTGCCTGACCGCAGAATGAGCATTTGAGCGTGCTGCAGAGTGCAAGCGTGAACTCTCTCAATTATTGAGATTTGGAGATTGAGTAGATGGCTTGAGTATCTTTGCCTGGATTCCCAGCTTAGTTCCGGTAGTCAGCCATCGAGCCAATCTGCGTTAGATCCTTGGCTATGGCAAAGTGCGGGAACGAAGTGGAGCTTTGACAGGAAATCAATAAGTGGTGTGAATATGGAGGGAGGGACATGTACTCAGGGCTCGATAGGACCTCACGTTCCGTCCGTGGCAGCTGTAAAGCAAGAACCACGGACGGGCTCCTGGTCGTCACAGGACAACAAGTGCGAGTTGGCAATGGCATCAAAGCCGGCACTGGACAAGGACTTTCTCTGCCCTATTTGCATACAAACAATGAAGGACGCCTTTTTGACTGCATGTGGACACAGCTTCTGTTACACGTGTATTATGACACATCTGAGCAACAAGAGTAATTGTCCTTGCTGTGGACAGTACCTTACCAATAATCAACTGTTCCCGAACTTTTTGTTAAACAAGGTGACAGCGTGTGCTTACATACCGTGACTTTTATATCTCGGAATATATTGATCTGTTTTCAATTTGAGCTAAATCTATAACCCCGTCGTCTTATGGATTCTTATGTTTCCAGCTTATGAATAGAGGTGCTGTTCTATAAATTTGTTGATACTGACCCGGTAGTCATCTTACAAGCCCAGAAAATATTGAAATTTTCGATATTGCTTATTCTTGAAATTATGTTTTACAGTTGTTGAGAAAGGCCTCCGCCTCCCAGCTCGTCAGCAATGCATCTCCTGCTGAGCATTTACGACTTGCTCTTCAGCAGGTTCGTTGTTTTCTTTTCCCAGCCACGCCCGTCTGATTATGAATCGACCAGATGGCGATTAAAGAAGGGGAATGAGTACTCATTTGTGTGGATGAGAGTGCTTGGTTATGATCCTTGACATTTTTCTTAAGGTCCAATATTGGAGCTTATTTTTTCTCATTTCTGTGTCAGGGTGTAGACCTACCTGTAAAGGAGCTGGACTCACTCATGCACTTACTTTCTGATAAAAAACGGAAAGCTGAACAAGAAGAAGCCGAGGCCAATATGGAAATTTTACTTGAATTTTTACATCGGTCTCGACAACAAAAGAATGAAGAGCTTAATCTTGTAAGAAATTCCCGCTTAATCCCATATAGGCATTTATGCTTTGAATGAAGAGAAGATGTCCGCTGATTTGTTTTTAGCACTGTTTTTTACGAACTAGGTTCGTGCTCTTGGCATTACAACACACTGTTGGTTTGGTCTAACTCTTCACCACAGCGAGGCTCCTCTTGCCCTTCACTGATTAGTTAACCCTTTTGTAATTCCATGAATTAACCGTATTTGTCTGTATTGACTGAAGCGCTGTGTACATGCAGTTGCAAGGAGATCTTCAGTTTCTCAAAGAAGACATTAGCACCGTCGAGAAGCAGCGGCAAGACCTGTTACACATTACGGAGAAAAATGCTCTAAAGATTCGCATGATCGCGGGTGGACCGTCATCCTCTAGGCCAGATACATTAGCTACAAATGAAAACACAAGTAAGGGTGAGGCAACTTCTCAGAGTCGAGGTGGTCAGTTTGGAGCGTCAGTACCATCCAACTTGCCCCCAGCTAGTCTTAAGAGAGATTACAGAGGACGTGTCACTTCTATTGGGACCTACAAGGAGATGATAGGAGGTGACGTATCATTGAGTAAAAGTCAATCAGAATTGAAAGCGCTGACACCTTCACCAGCGGTCTTGACGATGGCAAAGAAACGCCGTGTGGTGGCTCAGGTAGAATTATTCGGAGGACTGCAGTTTCTTGGTTCATAGAATGCTTATGGATATAATTAGATTTGACGCTGTAGTATATACAGTCTCTAAGAATATGCACTTCCTAACCACTCGATTTATTTCATTAATAGTTTGAGATATTGGTTTGTGAGGAAACTTGGATAGTAAGACTTCACAGTTGTGAGCTTTTTCTGAGGTTAATGCTGTGCTGTAAGCGAGTTTCCAGGTTTTTGTGGTCCTTCAAGCGCTTTGTATGCTTAGAATTAGCTTGCTAGCTTAAGTACCTGATGTCATTGATCGTGTTTACTAACTTTCTCGGTTTTTCTTACAATTTCAGATCGAGGTTTTGCAAGAGGCCTATTTACAGCGCAGAAGGAAAGTAGCACAAGTTCATCGTCAGGAACAAAAAGTGCATGAGACAATCGTGCGCAAGGATGAAGAGGTCAACTCTGCCCGTGCCGACCTGTACAGTTCCGGTTTAGACGATTTCCAGTCCGTTCTGACTGCATTTACACGCTACAGGTATGTCGCTCTTTGCCCTATGGATAATACCTTGTCTCCATAGGTTCATGAAAAATTGCCCTTGGCTGTGGCGTGTTTAGTGGCATAATTTAATTTCTGTTATACATGTTGGTTCGTTGGAACTTAGTTTATGCCATGAAATTCTAGCATTCGGAAGTCATTGAAACGTAGTGATGGGGAAGAGTTCGATTTTTGTGTCACCGTTCCTACGTGCACTGAGGTTAATATGGAGTTCACGTTCTTGTGTAGCCGGTTGAGTGTAATTGCAGAGCTGCGGCACGGAGATTTGTTTCATTCCTCAAACATTGTTTCAAGGTAAGATCGTCTGGAATTGGTGGGCACCATTATATAACAGTCATGTCTGTTAGATATTAGCGTACACTTTTTTACTGCAGCATTACTCGAAAGTGACCTGAGCAGCCTAGGCACTTAGATTATACTCAATTGGAAAAGCAAATTCGCTTTTGTATGCCACTTGTCGGAAATTCCAGTGGAAACTGAGAGTATCACTATTGCATGTGCAGCATTGAGTTTGGTAGGGATGATGAGTTGTTTGCAACAGCTGGAGTTTCAAGGAGGATTAAAATTTTTGAATTTGCAACGGTACGCCTCCATTTCAAGATGATTGTCTTTCAAAGAACAAACAAAAAGTAACCCTTTGCCTTGAGATATCATTACATTAGTGTATCGAATTGCTCAAAATCCGTGTCCTCACGTTCAAGCAAGGTCTACATTGAAGCACGCTAAGGATTCATCATCTCAGTAATGCTTATGCATATTTGATTCCCGGTCCTAAATGCAAGTAAATTTATGGATTCATGTAAGAAAAAAGTAAATTCTTTGTGAACGCGATTGCACTTGATTTCTGGTTTCTGAATGCCCTCAGGTTGTCAATGAATTCGCTGGTGTACACTGTCCAGTAGTGGAAATGTCAACAAGGTCAAAATTGAGCTGCCTCAGCTGGAACAAATATATCAAATCACATATCGCCAGCAGTGATTATGAGGGGATTATTACTGTCTGGGACGTGAATAGGCGCCAGGTTTGTTTTCATTATGCTCATGCCGAAGTCATAGATATGTCTTGATGATGTAAAATCCGGGCTTTAGGTACCTCACCCGCCCATCACACTCCCCCTTGATGTGTGTAGGTGTGTCTGACGTGTCTTTCTGGTTCACACAGGCAAGTTCTCAGTTGACTTGTAATGATGCTGCAGAGCATAACGGAGTATGAAGAGCATGAAAAGAGGGCATGGAGTGTGGATTTTTCACGAACTGATCCCACTATGTTAGTCTCGGGAAGCGATGATGGCAAGGTGATTTGTTGAAATGTTGTGATTTTATCACTCAAGTAACTGATGGACCTTCGTTTGACAAGGCCCCTTAAACTGGAAGGTAGTTTTTGGGCTTCTGCATCAAGGATCGAAGCGAATGTGTAGTTGATCCTGAAGCTTTTTGCATTGTTTCTTGCAGGTGAAGATATGGTGTACGAGGCAAGAGTCAAGCGTGATAAATATAGATATGAAAGCAAATATTTGCTGTGTGAAGTACAACCCAGGATCAAGCAACTATGTTGCAGTAAGTACTTCGATCCTCCAAAATGATTTACCATCATCTTGATGTGATAATGACCTGTTGAAACTCTGTTCCAATATCTGTCTAAACTGTATACTATCAACTCATTTTTGGATTGTACCTTGCTGCAGGTTGGTTCTGCGGATCATCATATTCATTATTTTGATGTGCGTAATTCTCATTTACCGTTGTATGTGTTCAATGGTCACCGAAAAGCTGTTTCGTATGTCAAATTCCTATCTCCAAACGAGTTAGCATCCGCATCTACTGATAGTACTTTGTGTCTTTGGGATGTCAAAGAGAACTGCCCGGTACGCTTTCACTAGATACACATTATCTTCTGCTTTCAGGTTCATCAATTTCTGCGTAAAATATATTTTAAATGTTTTGAATTGCACTGCAATCTGTATGCAGTACCAGCTAGCAGTTTGAGTTTCCGTTTTTTGGGTCTTGACTGTTTATGATGACTTGTGCATAAAGTTATTCAACTGACATCAGGTGTTCTGAACGCAGATAAGGACACTAAAAGGTCACACCAATGAAAAGAATTTTGTTGGACTTACTGTCAACAGTGAGTATATCGCCTGTGGCAGTGAAACAAACGAGGTGTTTGTGTATCACAAGGTAACATTCTGCTTGAACAGAGTGTTAATATTTTGTGACTTGCTGTGGATGACTATTGGACTTTGGATGTCAAAAGGAAAGGACTTAAGGTGAATTTTTTTGGTCATTGGGATAGGATGTTCTATGTTTCTATACTGATGGATTCTCTCTTTCAAGGAATGAAAATTTGAGGTGTTGCAAACCTGACTGAAAGGATGCACTAGGCCGTGGAATATGTTATTATGAAAGCATAAATTAATGTATTGTTGCTTTCACGTTAGAACTCCCGAATATCATTTGTATGGAAGTTTTTACTAAATTCGTTTCATTTTCTGCAGGCTATGTCTAAACCAGCATCTTGGCACAGATTTGGATCTGAAGATGCGGGGGAGAGCGATGATGATACCTCCCACTTCATAAGTGCCGTGTGCTGGAAAAGCGAGAGTCCTACTATGCTTGCCGCCAATTCACAAGGCACAATCAAAGTCCTGGTCCTTGCTCCCTAATTCGTTCCTAACTATATCTATAATGCTGTTCAGGCCACGAGCTGTAATTACGTAACATGGTTCCAGGGCGTACCTTAATTTTTCACGAGGGATATCTATCCCAGTTTTGAGTGGTTCTTGTAATTCTTCTCCTGATTTTTACACATGAAAGTTGCATAGGTTTACCTGTCCTGGAAGTTTCAATTGACAGTTTCCTGCAACTCACCTTCGAAAGTTTTTTTTTTTTTTTAGCGACAAATGCTAGTGGTGTAAATTCCGAGACTTTTGTGGACACATTGCCCCTTGTCATGGTCCACCTATTACCCCAATCGGATGCTGTCATTTTAATTAGCAAATGTTCCTCTCTTCGCATGACAGACGATGAACTGGTGGACCTTTGGTTGCAACACTGGTGAGTCATGTTATGCAGTTTTTCTTTTGCTAAATCTACTAGGTCGTAGATGTGTTGGGTACAGGGTGCGATTCCATTACTCTGGAATAGCGGCCTGATATGCAATCAGCAAGTCACTATTTGCATTGGTTAGATGCAGGATTGAGAAGATCAATTTAGTGTCGTCAGGAGATCTAAAGCATTCTTCAAGGAGTTTCTGAAGCTCTCAGACGTCGTGGAAACCAAAACATTTTTTCATGATGTAATATTGTATTTTTTTCTCTTGAGATTTGAGTGTATCTGAAGTAGTATTTTCCCTACATTTGGAATTTTAACGGTGACGTTACTAATGGTCAAGTATTCAATATTTATTCAACTCGCATTACTGAAGTTTATGTAGTATGCCATCAATTACTGTGTGATTTTATCACTCAAGTAACGTGATGCCACAATACATAGGTTTCCAACTCATCAAGGATATGATATTTGAGTTGCAGAAGTTGATGTTGTGTTAGTTCTTTATGATGTTTGTATAAAAAACTATGAAATGATTGAGTTATGCCTCTCAGATGAAGATAACCTGATCATTGTCTTTATCAGATGTTGAAATAACAAAGAAGTAGATAAATAAATCAATTAACCACATCGTTAGTGCAAAACTACCATTTACTCGATGTAGAAATCGCCAGAAGTGGCAGGTTGAAATGCGGTGGGATGTTATCTAAAGAAAATACTTAGGAACAGAGAACTAACACAGTTTCTGATTGTGAACATTGCTTGTGAACAGTCAGGAAGCAAATCTCTACAAGGTGCTTGTATCGTACAACTGCACAGGATCAAACACAATTTCATCATGTTTGCTGGGAATGGTTCTTATACCCAAAATAAACAACAGAAGGGAAGCACCGTGTAGCACTTGCGAAGATAAGACTGACAAGTTACCGTCTCCGCTTACACATTATTCTCCCTCTTAAGCAAATACCCACTGAGGTAATCAAACATAGTAGAAGATTACATAAGTGGCCAGAATCAAACAGGGCAGGTGCTAAGCAGGAAGTGGCCAGGTTGAAGGTGAACCATTCGGCGAACACATGTAAAGTAGATTTTTCTCAATCCAACAGAGCTACTGCTGGAGAATCCATCTGACACGAGGCTACTCACCGACACAAATCTCTCTCGCACGAATGAGAATACTGCATGTTCACGCTGACGGGCATCGCGGGAGGGGCAGGGTTGATTTGAGACGACAACAGGAGTGGGGCCATCTGCATCCTATTCCAAGATTCTGTCCAACACTGCTGACGCGCCGAAGCTGCTGCTCAAGGAGCTCGCGATGCATGACTTGAGAGAGTCGAATCACAACCGCACGCTTTGGAGTGCAAGCCTGAGAGCACCCTCTTATAAGAAACGAAACTTACTTGCAAACACTCCTACAGTAAAACATTTCTGGATTGATCAAATTTGAATTAGTACCTGCCTAAACTTTATTCTTTTCCCAGTATTGTAGGAGAAGAATTCATGATTAAGCATTCAACAAGACGATAAGGAAGTATCTCAAAACCAAAGTAATGGGACGCCCGTGCGCCTTCGTACAATCTCATGCCCAAAGTTGGAGACAACCGCCTCCATGTCAGGATCCAGCAAACTGCTGGTGCCAAAGTAACGCACACTGACTTTCCCTGGATTAACTTGAAGCGGCTACGCAACAAATCACGTCACTCAGTCCATGATTCCTTCCGTCATGACAGGATTTGCTGACAAAGTGCTGATTCGATTCTGGCAGAGAGCAACAAAGGTCGTGGCGGAGATTTCGAAGTGTACAGAGTGAGTTGGTATACACTCTCAAACGTTGATGGGATCAGCCCACCAGACAACCTCAACGACTAGGCACTTCTACTTAGATGTAAATATTAATTTACTACACTGGAAGTCTTCTGAAAGTCTGGCACAACTGCACAAATCCTGGAATCCGTTTGTGGAAACGATAATGGAGTTCTCACTGAACACCTTGTTTCAATCCCTTCACTTTCACACATTCAAACCACAGGGCAGGCCTTTGTTGGGTGAGTGAAGTTTCAAGAGGCTGCCATCAGCACAGTAGGAATTTATTATAAACCCCAGATTAAAAAAGATCACGACAGAATGAAGCTTGCAGTGTGATACTTGCCCCGCAATGAACTCCAAAATCGTCAATTTATTTGTAGAATATCGTGTATGAACAAGTCAGTCGTCAAGAAATGTTCAACATTGTCTATGATCTTTATGTAGCATAGCCACGGTCGTTTGAAGATTAGCCTGTTTGCATTTCTCGTGCTAGGTTAACGGAGTATACCCATGTTTCCTGCCCAACTTGCTGACTCGAGCATCATCGGGACCCCAAGTTTCAAAATTGCTCGGTCATGCTATCACTAGTCACGGCAGCGGGACAAGAGGTCCGGTGCTCACCTTCTCAACTTTAAATCTACTATTTTAACCAACACTTCTACCAAACACTAACTGGTCATCAGGCTAAATTCACTGAAAGAGATAATGATACGCAAAACATCAAACCAAGGATTGCAGAAGATTGAACCCTCCCTCCGGTAGAAACTCCAAAAGGATGCTCGAAACCCCCAGGTGATGGACCGGGAGCCAAGTACTCAGAATCCGGTGCAGTGGGAACCGGTTGGCCAGTAGAGTTCAAGGTCGTCGTCTTGAAGGTCCATGACCAGATCTTGTGTCGCACCGTGCCGGCGCCAGTCGCAGCCGAGAAACCAATGTACATGTACTCGTTGAAAACAGTGGACAGATCGATAGGAACAGACAGGAGAGAGACCGTGGGCTTGACGTAATCACCATTCGTGTAGGGGCTGATCGAGACATCCAGCACATGTGCCACGCTGTTGTATGACACATACGCTTGGATGTGGGTGCCGGATGCCAGGGTGACGGGAATAGTACCTGACATTGCAGGCTTCGCTTGTTGCGACACTAAGCTGTTGATATCCACACCAATGTGGTTGTCGTCGATGTCTTGGAATTGAGTGTCCTGCTTTGTATCGAACTCTAGAGCAAAATATTTTGTCGTCGAGACGGAGGTAGATGGATTAGCTGTGACGAGGCCAAGATAACCACCCGGATCTCCAACTGTCTTGTTCTCCGAGGAGATGCTGAAAGTGAGCCCAGCACCATAGGCCTGCGGTGTGGAGGGTTCATTTTCGATAGAGAAGATGAAGTTGGTTTCGAATGAAATGCTGGTTTGCGGGGATGCACTGATGACGCGAACTGGGTAGTCAAACGTCGCTCTCCCAGCGGCTTTGTTGGTGAGCTCCAGTGCTAGGTCGTCTATGAAAATGTGGGCGTCTCCTAGGACTGAGATGCTGTTACCACTGTTAGAGAATTGGTAATACTGAAAACTTGTGTCAGCTTCAACACCTCTGCCTGCTCGAATGAGCCCGTGACATAGAATGAGTAGCAACATTCCCAATTTCGCCATGGCTATCTGCATTGTACGCACCTACATTTTCAGGCTGAAAACATTCGAAGTACTGTGCAGCGGGGACGAGAATAAAAAAAATTAAATAAAAACAAATGTTTTAATCTTAGAACTAGCAACATAAACTTTAATACAGGTACGAAATTCTCAACAAGCAGATTGATAGTGATCTGCTTTCGATAACTTGGACTGCAGAGGAAACACAGCTCTGAAGAGACAACGAAGCTCAACAAGTCTTATCCACGCAAGCTTGTCTACCTGTGCCAAACCGTCTAACCGAAACAGAACAGCACAACGCAACCAGCTCCAGCCCACCCCACCTCTTCAACAACAGAGCTCACACACCATACAACATAACCTAAGGGCTTGCACTGGGGCAGTAAATGCCAGGACTGCGAAGAGTAAGCCACAAAATGAAATGCAAACCGCAGGGTCAAGGTCGAGCTCCGGACGCAGCTACATGACCATGCAGAATGCTACGCTCTTTCCATGCAGGCTTGGGCAACATGGTAGAAGGAAAGACAGACGACTTCGGAGGCAGGGGCACAGTGGACAGCTCAGCTTAGCTCAGCACAGCACTGTAGAGTGAGACGCCGTCAGTGAGCATCAAATCACGCATCCCACTTGATGATCGCCGTCATTGGACTGCACGATAATTCTCACACGGTCGACGCCGCTCTCGGGCATTTCTGGAGGTGTGACGGCGCGCCTCCCTAGTCACACGTCGTCGCGGGGTGGCAGGCCGCAACCTGACGCCATCTGACTGTATCTGACCGTATCTAACGTTATTTGACGCAATTAGACGCCAAGAGACGTGACTGGACGTGACGTGACGCGACATGACGCGACGCAGGGGGTAGTGGCCTTCCAGCGTCACTAGAATCCATAGGCTAACGCAGCGGCACACACACTTGTATTTCGTGTATTCTTCATGGGAACTTGAACAGGTTCAACAGTAAATGCAACACTGAAGAGATTAAAAGACCTTTAAAATATGCCGGTATTATGCTGAACTCATGACGATAGTTTTTGGTGATACATTGTTGAGTTTTTTTAAGAAAAGATTGGAAGTGAAATTGGCTGTTTAAAGGATTGAGATGCATGACTGTGTAATGAATTAATTGTGGGAGTGATTATTTAGAAGGTTTACACTGGAACTGTTTGATATAAAAGTGGTTGTAATCACGTTTGATTGTTTGTTTGATGTGTTAGTTCTATCACTAATCCAATCAAATTCAGTGTCATTATCAAATAAAAAATAGAATTAATGATAATAGCTTTATTTATGTTAGATGTTAAAATTGATTTAGATAAATATACTTTTAAAGCTGTATTATTAATTATTATTGAATCAAAAATAATATCATTCAAAAAAGCATTGAAATAAACAACATATAATAATGAAAATAAGAATAATACATAAAAGTTAACCTCATCTCTATCTTATAAACCTCATTAGAATTGCTTAATCAAATAAATTTATGGTTGAAGTTAGCTTTGAAGTGGCATACAAATATGGTTGCAATTTCATGCCATTCACACATTTATTAGTACCACACTTAGTAGTTAATTGAAGATTCTAGATTTTATGCATGAAGAATTAAATTATACACAAAGAGTTTAATTGTAGAGTTGGAGATTATGTTGATACATTGATATGTTTTGTGATGATTACAGCAAAAAAATTCATAAGGAAAACTTCTATTAAGAAATAATACTAGTACCATGCATCCTTGTTACAATAAATAGAATAAGAAGAAGAGGCAAAATCCCTTTTGTTACAACTTCAAGAAAGAAAAATTTTCTATAGTTTATCAAAAAGCAAATATGTAATAATTTGTTACATAATTTGTCAAAAATATGCAAACATATAGGCACGAGAGTGTCATTGTACAAAAAATTCTTTTTTGACTACAACATCATTTTGGCAAGAATGCTTAATACAATTTAGTGGTGAATGTGAATAGCAAGTTGGCGTATTAGAGTATTGATTATTCAAATTTATTCTTTTAATAAATTGCATTGAATTCTAAGTATTTAAAACAAGCTGATCAAGAAAAATAAGATCAAATAAGTATATGATTGATGCTTAAGAATATCACCTTGCAAATCTATAGATATTATTTTTTTCTTATTCCAAAGTCTATAGTCATTGTACACCTACTAGCTTCAATCTAGATACTGGCACAAACTGAAGAATTTTAAGTATTGAAAAATTTCTAATCATAAGAGTGAAACTTTGAAGAGAAGCATTTCAAATTTAAAAAGCCATAATATGGACATCAATTGTGTTCTTGTAAACAAAAATGAAGCATTTCTATGGCCTTCTTTTAGGAGGCAAGCAAGATTAAACTGCTAATCTATTAGATTATAGTTGATTGCTCTATCACTAAGTTATACCAAGAAATTCCTATTAAAATTAATTTGTAAAAATTATAGATTTATATGCATAGGCACTAGTTTATATGGCCATCAATTGAATTTGCAACCATTGATTCTAATCCTTAATCTAAAATGTCTCCTACTTAGATTAAAAGAACATAATCCAACTTCCATCCATATACAATAATTTTTACCTTGGAGGTTTCTAGCCATTGTTTTTTAGTGTATTAGTGTTTTTAAATCTTCTTAGATAAATGTTATAGGATTTGTAAGTTCACTTACATAATTTTCTTTGAATACATTCTTTCACTATTCTCTTTGTAATATTTTACTTTTGCTTCTACAAGTAGATTGTTAATCTTATTTTGTTGTACCTTGTCAAAGAAGTTAGTTGTGTTGGAGCTGGATTACTTGATTAAGTCCGATGTAGTAATTCTTGCATTGACTTAGGTAAGTAATCATTGCTGTTGTTTGAATTGTTGTATATAGACATTCTTTTTTGTATTAGATCAAACAATATGTAAAATTATGAAGGACTAATGGCTATAATCATCTTTGAATTCTTTTATGGCATCTTTTTTTCTATTTGCAATAGTAGGATGCATGTTATTTTTACTTTGAGGTATTTCTAATGTTGATCTTATTTTAAAGTTTGTTAATACTTGAATGACTTGAATTAGATCTTATATTATATATTTTTAGTCAAAATCAACTCAATTATTGATGTCTTGTCTTTCAATTTTTTTCCAAGATTTTGTAAATAATATATTTATAGTATTATTAAGTATCTCTATATGGTTGTTACTTCTTTCTTTAATTAACTGTGGTTGATGAAAATTTTAGGAGTCTCTCAAAGATGTTGGACTTTTTTTTATTTATAAAGTTAATATAGTTGTATTATGCATGACAAGATGTTGATAGAGAAAGACCTTAGATAGAATGGACTTTCAGATAGATTGGTGTTATGGTGAGGCAAAGATATATGTATGTTGTCAATCATATCTTATATCCATATTTTGTGGTATATTCAAAGAATTTCACTTGTTTAAAAGTATACATCTTTTTTTACTCTTAGTCTTTGGAATCCTAAGCTAAGTTGATAATTAGAGAGTTTCTATATAGCCAAATTTTGTATTCTTTAGCTAGTAAATTTGTAGGATTATATCCTACTATTTTGTCCTTGTGACTAAAAAATTTTATCATAAGAATTAGCTCTAGTATATAGATCAATATAAAAGTTTTTATACTTTATTTGATTAATTTCTCTATTGTTGCCATGTAATATTTGATTGCTTTTCATATGCCATTCTCTTTTAATTGTAAGTGATAAATTACAGAAATCGATTATTTCGTTTATGTTATAACTCAATTCTTAGGTTGCAAGAGGAGATTTTTGATGAGGTCACAATTGGAGAAAAAATTACAAAGTAGAGGGTATTATGTACTCATTGTTTTGGATTTGATATATGTAGTAAGGTCTTCTTAGATTTTTTAGCCTCTAATTTTTTCTTGCTAGATATCTTTGATTGAAAATGTATTGTTGATGTTTGAAGTTGTAAAAATTGAGTTGAATTATAATTCCATTTATTCTTTATTAAATTTTAAAAAGAGATGATTGCCAAATATTAGTTGCGTCAAGATTTTTGTTAGTATTATTAGTTGTATTTGTATGAAATCTATTTTGGATTTGTTCCATGTCTTGATGATTATTTTTCACAATGATGTAGCATCCAAGGAGGCCTTGTGGATATATATGATCTTATAGATATTTTGTGGCTATCTCTTCAAGCTAATTATTCTTGATCTTTTCTAATTTATACTGGATAAAGAATTTTCAAAGTCAAATCCTAGCTTTATTTCTCAAATAAGTAACTTAGTAATTGGTACTTTTTTTATATTTGAAGATCTAATACTTTGAATCTCTCAATTATTGTGGATTGTATTACTATTTTTCAAGGCACTTTGATTCTAATCTTGTTACTTATGGTTGCTCCTCATATATAATTATAAAGTACTGCTTCAATTTATATAAAGATAAAAATTGATATATGTACATATGAATAGAGGTACTAGATGGTAGCAATAATTACCTAATTTGCTATTAGTATATACCTTACAAATAAAAATATTTTTGGTTATTAGTTGATGACACTTTGGTTGACTACAGTCATCATTTTGGTCTAAATTTTCTCTTGATTTAGTTGAAATCTAATCAAGTATTTTAGATAACTTATGGATTGTTCTTTTGCGAGTCATTTCAATCTAGCATCAGCTTGTTGTTGCCATGTCCTATTGATACTTATTGCCTATATATCCACAGATTTGATCTAGTTGAGTTTTGCTCCTAAACCAAAGCAAAACTTTGTAAGTGTTTGTATTGTAATATTTAAGTTGTCTTCTATTCCTATGAAATATAGTACAATGTCATAATATAACACAACTAATAGGTAAAAGAGTATAGAAATTATTATATTATAGAAGATCTTATTTCAAAATATTATAATAAATTATCTTAGAAATATAGATAATTTTCAAAAGGGTAGTAAAACTAAAAAGTATTAATATTATCTTTTATAAAATGGCCTTCTATTTACTTTATAGGGCCATAGATAAGGTAAAATAAAGTAAATTAAAAAATTAAATAATATAGGCATATATAAGAAGAAGTTAAGAGTAAGTTTTAGCAAAATTTACCTCAAGAAGCAAAGAATTGATATCCAAAGATGACTAGTTGTCAACTTGGGTTGAAATCAAATTCCAAGGTACAAAATCAAACTTTGGGATTTTTTTAAAGATTAAAGAATAAGATTTGATAGAAAACTTCATAGAATTTTTATAAGCATTGATTTTGTATGATTTGGATCTATAATGACTTTGTAAGAGTTTTACAAAGTCATGATCATTTTGGATGACTTGAGTTTTTGTGAAGTAAAATAGAGTTGACGTTTTGGAGAATTTATAGCATTTTATAATAGATCTATAAGTAAAATTTTGTAGATTAATGGTTATAGTTGTGTTTAATATGCATTATGAATTTTAGCTTGATCTAATAGTTGAATTGAGAATTATTGAAATTTAAGTGGGTCGGGGTCTTGAAAAGTAGGATTTTAGGTCTAGTGAAGATTTCTAAGAATTATTCCAATCTATTAGTTAGATTGGAGTAAAAGTTATGTATATAGGTAGTTAACTTGTTTTCTTAAATATATGAGAATTTTGAAATCAATTGGATAAGGCACAAAGGAGATGCTAGTACTAGAAGATCAACATTAAGGTT